CAGCGTCTGTCTGACGTTGAACATTCATGTCGGACAGGCATTGGGTTTTGACGTTAACCTGATTTCCATGATGTTGGGGTACAATGTCAATCTGACGTAATGTTGACGTCCTGGGCCTGCTGCATTTAAAATCACTGTTTTAAAACATTAAGCCGTGTTTTAGGGATTCAAATACTGTGGTTTATTGAATCAAATGAGCTTTTAAGCTATTTTAATTTTGTATTACTTAAAAAAAAAATTAAGTTGAAACAACATGAAATAAGTGAAAGTAACACCAACAGATTTGTACATCATTTTCAATTTTGGTGCCAAACGCTTTTTAAAGTCAAGCAATTAAGACTCATCATCAGCGTTAACTTTCTAATGATCAGTAACTTTATTCCACAATCGGTGAATTGTTAGCACCAAATCAATGGACTTCACTGCTCAAAACAGGTGTCTCTGACATATATATTTGCCCTAGTTGCATTAGTTTAAAGACCATCCCAGCTACAGCACATTTGAACAGGTGTTGAACAGTCCAGAGAATATTATATTTGAAAAAAGAGGAAAAGACCATTTGTGGGGATGTGCATCAAAAGATAAAGAGACATGCTGTGAAGGGAGCCCACCGAAAGGAACTTTAATGACACTCAAACTGGGGCAGACAGTGCATCTCGGTTTTACCCAGTCATTAGTGCGGATGAAACATTAGCAATGGATTCACATGCGATCAGATATGCTCCCGTGAGGGTCATTGACTATACGAGGTGAATGTAACTTCGGCGTGTGTCTAGTGGGCTTCGTGAAATTTAATAGCCCTTCTGAGACCGTGATAAAGTTTTAATGCATACGTAAAGAGCCCCGGCTCAGCTTAATGAGCTAATCCGTTTAATGCTAACTTCACACCTTCCAAAGAATGGCTTCCAGTCTCCCCTCAGACACGAGACGGCGGCTGGGCTATAAATAGATCTTAAATAGATTAATGTGGTTTCTGTGATTTGTTGTTAAGGTTAGCTTCTAGAGCTGCTGATAAATGAATGTGATTATCATATTTTTGTCTGTTGCTCTTCTCTTTTTGTCTTTTAAATCAATTATGAATCATCGTATCTGTCTTTTTCACACCTGTTTCTGTGCACCTTCTCTTGTCATCTCAGTGGCTTTTAAATGACACAAGAGGCTTAAAACAAGCACAATATCTATAAATGAGGCGTGAAGAGTAGCTAAATTCAGTTAAGCCCATCGGGGGATATTTGTACTTGTTTTTTCACCTAATTTTCATCAGTTTAACAAAAAACAAGACCAAAAATCATATTTTTTTAGTGTAAAGACTTGTGTGAAACCTAAAAATGCCATGATATTTTCTTCTAAAATTTGTATTTTTCTCAGACTCTTGAGTGTTGGCTCAATAATTTTGCTTTTATAGTGATGGAGAAGTTCTTTTCATCGACTTTAAAGTGAAATAACTGAAGACTTATGTATAAGGCTAAGAAAAATGATCATTTTAGGAGAAAATTTCAGATGGCATTTAGAGGTTTTTGCATCTGAACTCTTCATAAATATATATGTGATGTATGTACTGTATATGGATGTGTTTAAGAAAGAATAAGCTAATTTTAAATAAATTTAACACATTAAATAAAATTAAATAACATGTTGATTGCTATAATCAACTTTTAATTATTATTTTTTAATTTCTTTTAAGTATGAAACTATCAATACTACTAAACTACCAATACCATTGCATACAATGCTAGTAGTATTTTATAGTGTTACTTTACCTGGTCTTAAAGATCTAAAAAATCATAATGTTCGCAATCATTTCATATTACAGTTTGTAAAGAAAATGTGTTAGAATATATATTGGCAGGGCTATAATTGAATAGAATAATGCATATTTTTACCTGTTGCTTAAACATTTATAATGGAAATATACTTATACAGTATATAAGTGTATTTTAAGGAAGATTAGATTAAAATAATTCCTTCTCATATTTACCAAGGGGGCTAATAATTTTGACCATGGCTTCTCTTTTCATCAATCAAACTTTTATTTTGCTTTTCTACACTTTTCTTGTCATCTCTCTGGCTTTAATGATGCGACTCTTCCTTTCAAACTATTTTCAAACTCATACTTGTGTCTGTCGACCAAAAGCGTCAGTCTGTCGCCTAGGGTTCTGCATTCAGACAAGTTCAGGAATAGCCGGCCACACAAACTCATTTGAGCTGTGTTTCTCCTCAGAGTGGAACTTCCAGCTCGGGAAGCAATTAGAGCAAGGGGAGGCCCAGCAGAGGAGCCTGCGCTGGGGAGACGGAGGCGGCAGGTGCTGCTGTCGCTCCTCTGGAGGAATAATCAACTGCTCAAAGGTGAGATGGAAACTCTCTAGTCTGCTGGGTCACACTCGCCTTTGACAGATGTGATGTGTGTGATGGAAACCTAAAGGGGTGGATAGCATGAGTCATCACTTCTGCTTTGAGATCAGACAACTTGTGGTGTGATATAAAAAAATCAGACAGGATTCAAAGGACATTTATGAATTGGTTTGGAAAAGCACCACTAGTCAGTATTAGTGATTATGAAAAAAGCATTTAAAATGGAAGACTAGTTGAATTATAGGTAGGCTAATAGTATTATTAATCTGAAAAATGGTCTCAATAGGTGAGGTTAATATTAAATTAAACAAATTAATAAATGACTATAATATATATATATATATATATATATATATATATATATATATATATATATATATATATATATATATATATATATATATATATATATACACACACACACACACACACACACACACACACACACATATATATATATATATATATACATATACATATACTAACACACATACACACACACACACACACACACACATATATATATATATATATATATAATGATAGTATATAAATATATATATAATGCTTTTTTTGGGTTATTGGTGTGTGTGAGCTGCTGCATTCAACATTTGTATGTTTATAAAATGTTGGGGATCTTGAGTCAAAGTTTGGCAACCCCTGGTTTATAGAAATAAAAATTGTGTTTTGCTCAAATGCATAAATATTAACCATGAATTAATTCTAAAGTTAAATAGTTTATTTTACTTTTTAGTCGTATGCTTATAGAGACTGCATTTATTTGATCATACATACAGAAAAAATGGGAATATTGTGAAATAGTATTGTGATTTAAAATAGCTGTTTTACATTCGAATGTATTGGAATATGTAAAATATTTCATTGATGGCAAGTTGAATTTGCATTAGCTATTAATTTAATCTTTATGTGTCTCAGGATTCTCCAGAAACTATTCTAATTTCTTATTTTGTATTATATTCAATGCTGAAAACAGCTGTGCTATGATAGTTTCGAGAACATCAGTATTATTAAGCCAGAATTCTTTGATTAATTAATATTATTATTATTATTATTATTATTATTATTATTATTATTGTCAGTTTTTATAATTTAATATGTCTCTATTATTAGTATTTACTATAATAGCTTTGTTTTGCTATGATTTGCTTGTTGTGACACTGATTGCAGAATCAATGTAGTTTTTCTGTGTGAATTCAGCTGTCATTTGCACGTAAAGACATAGATCACCCAAAAATGGAAATTTATTCACTATTTAGTCTCCCTTAGGTGGTTCCAAATCCTAATGTGTTTCTTTATTCTGTTGAACACAAAATAATACATATTTCCAAAAATCTAAAAACCTGTCACCATTGACTTCCATACAAATACTATGAAAGATAATGGTTACCATTTCCAACATTTTTAAAAATATTAAAAACTTAGTATTTAATATATTAAAAAAAAACTAATTGATCCCAAACTTGGGATTGTAATGTATGAAAATGAAATAACTTTTGAGAAGATTTGGGAAGAGACAGAGAGAGAGAGCTCTGATGGACATCCAAGAACACTGCAAAAGATAAATCTTTATTTCTCCCAGATTGCAACCGTAAAAATTGAATTAACAAGTGCAATTACAACTCCGCTGCCCCCCCTATCCCACCCAGAGAGCCCATAATAAAAACAGAGAAGTTTAACAGGTGGACGGCCAGATCACACATTTCAACTGAGGTACCAACCACTATCACAGAACAAGGTGCTAGGCATGAACTACAGGTTTACCGTAAGGCAATTTATAACCATTATAACTTATTACTCCAAAACAGAACACACCTCTCTTCCCTCCAGGAGGGTCGAAAAACTATTAGTTTCACCTTAAATAGATAAACAAGATCACAACAAGTTCTCCTCTATACACAACACAAGTCAGCACAGCGCTGTGTGTTATTGCAGGTGAATACTCACAGCCTAACAGTGGCTACTTTTACCTATGTCTAGTTGGTTTCGACTCAGTGCACAAGTTCAATAGGGGGAAAAAAAGATGGTACTGTATTTCTACAATGAACTGACTGGGTATCCAGATCTACACTCCATAAAGCAATGCCACTTCTTACGGTGGATAAATGACACTAAATACGTATTCTATTGCTTTTATGTAGAAATTATATCCTCACCCTAAAATTTCAGTAGTTACAATCGTTTTGAAGTGTTTGAAATGAGCCTTTCTGGAAACCGAAGGAGAAAATTGTAAATGTTGTCGGCCAGGTTTGTGGTGCCATTCACACAGAACACATTAGTGCATTTTAATCTGCTGGTTTTCTATTGTTTTTGTATGTAAATAAAAATGATTTGAAGCAACAAGTATATGGAAATTGGATAATTCCTTCAAATTGTCAACAAATCGATTAAGTTACTTTTTATTATTTTTTTTTTTACAAATTTAAGTAGATTGAACATAAAACACTCAAGTTGTCTCCAAAAAAAGCTCAAGATTTGTGTTGACTGAGCTCATTTTAAATAAGTAGTTTGAGCAGCAAATTTTTTTTTTGTCTGTATGCTATATTGAAGAGAGTGGAGCTAATGCTGTCTTTTGCTGTGCTTTGCGTGTTTGCGACACTGATAGGTGTGATTTGTTGTGCAGGATTGTATGTAATAGTAATATTTCTGTGTGAATTCAGCTGTCATGGTGGGACATTTATGCATTTAAAGACATAGATCTCCCAAAAATGGAAATGTACTCACTATTTTGTCCCTCAGGTGGTTCCAAACATTAATGAGTTTCATTATTCTGTTGAACAACACATATAAACTGAAAACCTGTAATCATTGACTTGCATAGTAGGAACAAGAAGTAGGATACCATGGAAGTGAATAGTTACCAGTACCAACATTTTTAAAAATGTCTTCTTTTGTGTTAAAAAAAGAAAGTCAAACAATTTTGGATCAAGTGGAGGGAAAGTAAATGATGACAGAGTTTTCAGTTTTGAATAAGTGATCCCTTTAAATATTTTAAACCATAATCAGGGGCGGACTTAACCAATAAGTGAGATAAGCAGCCGCTTAGGGTCCTGGGGAATTAGGGGCCTCCTACCAATGCCAAAGCCTATATTAATCATATAGTTTTTTTAATACATTTTCTATCATATTTTGTAAAATCTGTCAATTACTGTTAAGATTTTAACGTTTTAGTTATTTTCAAGACCGGGAGCACCCCTAAATGATGGAATGTTTTGTCCGTACTTCACATGTGCGAGGTGTGAGTGCTTCAATCAAAGACTCTAATGCCATCCAGTTTTGTTAACTTAGCGACTTTTCAGACAGCCCTAGCGCCAAATTTCCAAAAAAGCAACTAGCTAAGCAAACTCTTACTAGGCTTTTTAGAAACATCTTTAATTTAAAGCTAAAATCTGCAGGACACCGGCCCTCAAGGACCAAGTTTGGACACCCCTGCTGTACATAGTTTGTGAACTTGTTTTATTTTAATTTGTGAATTTATTGCTTAACATGCAATTTAATTTTTAAAAATGCTAGGGCCCCATACCTGGAATTGATTAGTGCCCCGAAATTACTAAGTCCGCCTCTGACCATAATATCATAGTATAAAACCTCATAAAACAACCATGTATAATTTGAAAGCTTCTAGTTTTCATATCTAGTTTTTTTGCATTATTTTAGTTTATCGTATTTTTCTGTGCTCTAAAATTCAATTAACTTGGATATGTGTACAGACCATTAACAATTCACTGAAATATACGGTATGTTGGACATCTAATTTTCATGTCTATGTCCAAAATGTCCAACCGACATAATTAATTGCCAAAAATCATTTTAATTTGTCTGGCTTCGACAAAAACATATACAGTAGCAACCCCAGAGCTCGCAAAAGTGCCCTCTATACACTTTTTATTGTTAATATCAAGAAAATCTATCAATAAGAATCTGTTTTTAACTTTAAGAACCTTACAGCTGAGCTCATTTTGTGTTCTATAAATGCAACGCTCAAGTTTAAAGACATTCAGCTTCTTACATTTATTTGTAATTAAATTTTTGTTTTCGGTTTCACTGACCTGGGTTTTTTTATTCTGTGTGAATGGCACCTTATGGTACGGTCGCACAAAGTCCACTGTCTGTTGTAGTATAGCGATGCATGAATCACAGGTCTCAAGTCACATTCACGCCAAACATCGTCCTTCTGTTGGTCAACATGCAGATTCGGCATGACTTGACTTTGCAAGGAAATCTGCACTGGCAAATTTCACATAAAACTCCTTGCAGAACAACAGGTAATGTGAGTTTTAAATACTGTATCCTTCCACTGTATCCGTTAGGGTCAAATAAACTAAAAATAATGTAGCTACTTCAAAAAAAACTAAAAGCCAGCCAATGGCTTCAGAGCAGTGCAAACATGACATACTGTAGAGATTTATTGACACCGCAGCCTCCTCTCTTGAATGCACTCCTGTTCCCTGCATCTAAATCTTAACTTGTGAAATGACAAGGCAAGGTAGAGGTTGTCAAAGACAACAGTCTCATTAAAGTCCTTCAACAGCTGTCGAAACGTAGATTCAGCTGAACAAGCCTCCTCCGACTGGGCAGAGAAACTCATTCGCAGCTGTCAGTCTCAGCATCAGCGTCGGCATGAGGAGAAAATTTCATCCAGTGGAGCTGCAGGAGGTAGTCGGCACAGTCCGTGTCCTAAATGTAGATGGGACCAGGAAACTAAATCTCTAGTTCCTGGCTGTTCCTCCTTTGTCGTACTGAGTAAATCCGTGGGATCAAATCAGGATATCTAGAGAAACAAAGAGAGAGAGATTGAGATTAAATCGTATTTAATCTTATTTTAAAACTCTATCTAGTTCTTAAAGTATAAAATGTATGCAGCTTTTATGGAATTTCTGGAATATCATGGAATTTTTAAAGAGCTAATCCAGACATGGATTTATTTGGTCTAAGTTATGGAATTTCAAGGATTTTTATTTGTGTCTTTACATTTTTTATTATAATTTATATATAGTTTTTCTATAATTATGCTGTTTCATGCCTATTGTTATAGTATTTTTTTTTCAGCTTCATTTTATTCCTTTCACTCTCAACAACTGACAGTCACTCACTGCTACCAAACTGTACCTGTTAACTAATGACAAGATGTCATGATAATATCAATTTTAAAAGCGTTGACTTCAAAATGACCACTTCAAAGACTGAGGGCTCTAGACCTTACACCTAGATTTTCAAAATGAAGCGCATGGCAAAAAAAGCATTAAGGGAATGTCCGAATCTACTTTTGATATTTTAAGGACAGAAACATCGGCTCTGAGCCCTGGCGCATGGTCTAACAGGGTTGTGCTCATTCACTTAGTAAGTTATGGGTGTGTTTTGAGCATAACGTACATTAAACCAATTAGAGTCTCATCTTCCATTCCCTTAATGAGTCAGTTGCACTGTAATAAATAATACTACTATTAAAAATAACATTATACAAATGCAAATTGTTATGAATAAACTGAAAAAAGCCCTGCCCCCCCAAGAAGATTTTTATATTTATGTTGAAAAAAAATTTTTTTGTAACATTTTATTCCTCTACATTTTTCATATGTAAGGGTATTTGTGTATTGCTGTACATCCTGTGTGTATTAAGCAATGTGTTTGTGTTTTGGACCTGCATAGGCGCTTTACTAACCGCTCTACGCTGGACTTTAGACCAGCTTTTAGTTGGTCAGTGGTGCGGTTTATTTCAGTTCCTCAAAATAGCAACAATAGCAACAACAATACACCTTAACACACCTCCTTTATAGACCAGCACACCCATGAGAGTCTAGGTGCAAAACGTGATAATTACTGTTGCGCTGTTCTAAAAATAGCAACAAATCGCGCCAGGTGTTTGATCGGGTCCTGGTTGTTTAAAAAGTAGAAGACAGCAAAGCTAGATGAAATTTTGTGAAACTACTTTTCTTAGGTTTCAAGAGTTCACACTTAGCTAATGATTGAAAATAAAGCTTGTTTGGCATGCTGTCCCGGGAGAGAGCCCTGAGCTTATAAGATCCTCGAGCCCGGGGCTCTCTCCTGTTTGCAAGGCAAAGGATTTGGATTAGTCAATTAACTTGGATGCTTTTGGACGGTGAGAGGAAACCGGGGAACCAGGGGGAAACCAACGTGAGCACAGGGAGAACGTGTAAACTCCGCACAGAAACGTTGTCTGGCTTGATGAGGACTAAAACCAGTGACATTCTTGCTGTGAGGCAACAGTGCTTACCACTGGGCCACCATGCCACTCATGTAGGAAAGGAGGAGGAGTAGGGGTGTACGGGGGGATTTTTCAAAACGAAGATGGCTGTAAAATGGAATTTAGGATATTTATAGTGGCTTAGGAATCATCTGATTGGTGAATCATAAATTGAATAATGCGGGACCAGCCGCAAGCAATCATAAGCACATGATCCTCTCGAAATTAGTTTATAAATAAACATCACCAATTAAACATTGCTGTTCTTATAGTGGATACTAAATCACGCAAAATGATATTCTTATTAAATTTTGATGTCATTTTAACACATTATTATAATATAAGCACAATATAAGCCGCCTACTTTTCAAATTCAGCTTTTTAGTCAGAGGAAGTCAGGGGATTTGATATTTGGCTTAAAGTGGTAACCTTGTTTAAAACAGAGAGTTTTATAATACAAGCATGTCTTCTCCATCTGTGATGTTTGATGATCTTTAAAGGGGAAACAGGATCTCCCTGTGGAACAGATGTGTTGATTAGGCTTGTGGATGTTTGGCTGTAATCAGACAGCGGCTCTGTAGCCATGGGCAAGCCGGAGCATGCTCTAGCCGAGCGTTCACAGCCAATCTCAGATCACATCTCAACCTGATCTACATCACTGTATATGGAGAGACTGCATCCTCACACAGACAGCCTTTGAATTGCTAATATGGATTACAGAAGTCAGAATGGCACAAGGATGTTGTGTTTGATATTTGGGAAGTTCAGATTCTCCTCTTACAAAAACCAAACAGGATAAAAAAAAGATACACTTGCAGCCATACAATAAAAACGTGCAGTTCTACGGCATACCTGTGAGTGTATCCCAAATTTAAGCTGTTTAGCTGTTTTTGGTTCCCTAAATAACTTTTTAGTGAACTTCTTATCTAAAAAAAAAACAACAACGACCAAAAAACACAAATTTTTTTCCCTTTAGGAATAGTTTATTTGACAATTTTTTTAAACGAATCACTAATAACCTTTTATGCCTTTAGGTCCTTCATTACTATGACATTAAAAACGTGGTTACATTGCACATTTTTAAAAAACTGTATAATTTTGATCCTACACTCCCAGAAATAAAGGTACACGAGTTGTCACTGGGGTGGTACCTTTTCAAAAGGTACAAATTTGTACCTAAAAGTTCCATATTAATGCCTCAAGGGTACATATTAGTACCTAAAAAGTACAAACGTGTCCCTCTTCAATTTTTTTAGGTACTAATATATACTTTTGAGGTACGAATATGGACCCTTTAAGTACAAATGTGTACCTTTTGAAAAGGTACCACCCCAATGACAACTCGTGTACCTTTAGTTCTGAGAGTGTAGTAAAAAAAGACAATTTTGTGGAAATCATGATGTCATTCGCATGCTACAAACTGCACATTTTTAGTATTTTGTAAAAAAATAAATAAATAATAAAATGTCAAAAATATAATTGTGCAATGGAAAGTTTCCATAGATATGAAAGGTTTTTAAAAGGACCACAGATCCAAAAAAAGACTTATTTTTAATTGTGCACAACGTGACCCTAGGGAAGTAAATTGAGTGAGTTACTATTACTGCTACTGTTAATGGCAACTTTATTGTCCCCTTTTGGGGCAAATTGTTCTGCAGCAAAGATGTACACAATTCCTGACACACACAAAACAGACAACACGCAACATGCAGTTTTAACATGATTTTAATGTGTAACCCTTGCTAAGATATTCTGTGAGAAATCATATGCAATCTTACATTTGCTACCATGGCAACATGACCAGTCAAACCCTAAAATTAGCCTAAAAATGACGAGAACAGCATTACAGCTCAAATAAGACTAATGTGAACAGAAGTGCTTTCATGAAATTATATGCTTCAAATTCACACTTTTCTATGCTCCAAAACTGTATTTTGGCTCCATTTAGTGCCAATGAACATCAGTGCAACCTCAATTCTTCAATATAGACGTGCATATCGCATGTGCATGACATATATATGCGATACGTAGGGCTATGTCTTGTGCACGTGATATATATCCCGTGTCCATGCGAAGGTCTTCATTATTATTTTTTGGCCATGTCACTTTAGGGGCTCCGTAGGTGATTCAGTGATAGCATCATGTTTTTCTTAGATGATCTTGCATTATTTTATGAAATATATGCTAATTTACATACAAATTTAAATAATTCAAATTCTTATTTCATCACATTTTATTATTATTATTATTATTATTTTATTACATATTATGCACATATACATGTTTTTACAGAGGATATATTAGCAATCTCTCTTTATTACTTCTGCAAATTCTGCAAACAGCCAGAAAAGCAAACATTTTCTTTTGTTTTTCTTGAGGAAAGAAGGAAATATAAATATTTTATTCTAAAATTAGTTAATATTAAATGTATGCAGAACAGGGTTGAGGTCATGGAATTTATGGAATATCAAAATGTATATAATTAGGCATGCTATCTATGAACTAATCCCTCAATAAAAGCCTTCAGAAAATAGATATGACTTACTTTCAGAAACTGACTTTCAAAAAACAGCCTTTAAAGATATTTATTGTAATTGAAATTTTCTGAGATGTTTTCTTTAAATTTAGATAAAAAAAAAATCTTAGATAAACCCAAAATCTCAGAATAGCGTATATGACAAGAACAGCACACAGTATTTTCAATGGAGCTTTTGTGCTCGCCTGCTTCTACTGATGGCGCTTGCGTTTAAACAAATTTTCATCTGGTTTTATGCCTGAACTACTTAATGAATGCTGAAGTCTATTTAACTGATTATATTTTAATTACAGTACAACAACGATGCTGTGAATCACATGAAATTGAAAATAGTCACATTAACCGTTCATCTGAAGTTTATTGGTAGGGGAAAGAACACTAGCTGTGCATATACCCCATTGGAAAGATAAAAACCTGCAGTTTTTGCCTGGAGTGTCTAGTCATAATGTGTATATTTAGACTGGTCATATTAATGTTGGTCACTTTAGTTGAGTTACTCAGAAAGAACATAAACATTTAGAGCGCTCTGCCATTCCAGAGAGCCTCATAAATGTAAATGTCAGATAAAGGTAGAACATTGAGTCAACCTGTTTCTACAAACTAATCCTGTTTGCAGTGATGAATGCCTGAGTGTGTTCAAACGCACTGATCTTTACTCCCTTCTGGACGTGGTCAGGGCTTTTTAAGGATTCAGTCTTGGCTAAAGTTTGGGGAATGTCCAGAGCTTTGGCCTACTTTGGAGCAGGTCTGTCTGCACTGAGCGCCGCGCTCATTTATAATGCATTACAGACGGCTTTTAAGCAATGTAGGCCAGGAGCGCAGACAGGTTTGCTGGTGTCGGAGGAAACGCCTCTGAGGAAACACTGCTCATGCCGAGAGTTGAGATGTCACACACAGGTCTTCCTAAAATCCAGAGGCATCTCGGAAAATTCTTGAAATGGAGCTTTCAAGGTTTAGTTTGTTTGTTTCTCTCTCTAACAAAAGAGAAATAGCTTTTAGTACTAATTATGGATTATATATTTATTTTATT